TCCATCCATCCATCCATCCATCCATCCATCCATCCATCCATCCATCCTCCCTCTTCACCCACTTTTATCTTTTCGGGTTACGGGGGTCACTGGTGCCCATATCCAGCTATCACTGCGAGAGGCAGGAGACACCCTGGACAGGTCTCCAGTCCATCACAGGGACACAGAGACAAATGAGACAAACAACCATTCACTCTCTCACTCACACCTAGGGACAATTTAGAGTTACCAATCAGTCTAACATGCATGTTTTTGGTCTGTGGGAGGAAACCGGAGTACCCGGAGAAAACCCATGCATGCACAGAGGTCAGGATTTGATCCGGCAACCTTCTCGCTGAGAGGCAACAACTATACCAAACAAATTTATAATCCTACCAGTCTTCTTTTTCACATCCAATGCAATCTTAAAACCCTCATCCATGAACTCAACAACTTGGACAAAGTCATCTTCCTTGAACTGTCTGGAAGTCAGGGCTGGAGCACCTGAGAGAGAGAATAAGGAAATGATTTACTTTCAATCCTCACATTTTCTTTCAACTTAAAAGGAGGAGTCTGGAAAACGCTGCTTTTGGAACCCTTAATGCACTCAGACAATGTGTCAAATCTACACAGAACCTGATGGCTGATAGGAAACTACTGGCACGACACTACTGTGAAGACAAGTTCAAAAAGACGAGGTAATTATGAAAGATGCCTTAAAGGGGACATATGAAAAGTGCTACTTCTTCTGTACTTCAGAGCATATATTTGGGCATCTGAAGTCAAAAACAGTCCTGTGTACTGTTCGTTTTGAGAGGGGGGACCTTAGGTTGGGAAAAAAAACACTTATAGGTTAAGCAGTGCGTTTCTTCCTTTCTCCAGCTCTGAGAAAATGATCTTTATTTATACATTTCATTTCAGAAAATAAATAATTTACATTTCTCTGTCTAGTTTTTTTAATATTATGGCAGATACCAGACATATTTTGCATTTAATTTTTTTTTTCCCCCATCGACAGGAAGAAATGTCAAATTTTGTATTTGTCACCACTGTGTTCCTTAAAAACTGCAAACAGCAGAAAGGACAGTGAATACAGGACTGCACTGACCCTGAAAGTGTGCTGCATTTGGCACAAAACATGTCAAAAGCATTTTATTGTGCACTGATATAACTATGGAGCTTCCCAATTATTTTTGTAGATGATCCCAATTTGTTTTAATTGTGATCTGCTCAAAGTTGCTGCTAAATATACAGAGACAAAGTGAAGAAGATGTTATTTGTACCAGAAACATGGACAAAAAGAAGTTATAGTAAAAAAAGCAGAAAAATCAAATGTTGATCAACACCATGTTTAGTTTCTTGGTTTTTATTATTCCTGACAAGCCGTTTAAAGAGTCCAGTTTAACATATGGTGAAACAGTTCCTTACCCAGCCTGAGGCCACCCGGGGTCAGGGCGCTCTTGTCCCCTGGGCACGTGTTCTTATTGGCCGTGATCGACACGAGCTCCAGCACCCTCTCAGCTCGAGCCCCATCGATGCCCTTAGGCCGGAGGTCCACCAGAACCAGGTGGTTGTCGGTTCCACCTGAAACATACAACACTTTTGTAAAAACATTTGGATAGGACCAAATCCTGTCAACGATAAGCCACACGTTTACATTTTTTATGCACATATATGATCATTAAGAAAATAAACCGATACATTTTCCTTTTTCATTTACCATTAAATGAGCAAAAAATAATGTAGGCTGTGTGGGTCAGTAGTATCCAGCCCCAGCCTTCAAATATCAACTTTTCCACTTGATAGTAACAGCACGCTACAAGTCACACCTGCAAGATGCTGCACAAGTTTTGATTAAAGTTAGGCTTCAGCCACACTTGTTGTGACAGATGTTACAATCCTCCATGTTCTATCATTGTCATGCCGTCTGCAGAAAGACTTATCTCCACAAGATGATAAATGGGTAGTTTATATATTTGGATTCCAAGCAGATTCCAATACTGAAGTTGCCGCTAATCTTTCCAGGGTTTTCTTGCTCCAAATAAATCATAAAAGCATACATCAACCTCATGTGTGTTGTTGCTGCAGCAGGGAGGACAGAATGGGCAATTTATAAAAGAATAACTAATCACAGTAATCAAAACGTGTCATGAAAACCCTCAAGTGTTTCTCACCAAACCAAATAATACTTGTGGAAGGTTTTCATCATTTTTCAACATCCGTAAGCAACTTTTTAAAAAACTACTGATGAAAAAAAACAAACAATATCTATAATAAAATCCAAAGTTTTAAACACCTAAATGTTTTATTTACAAAACAGTGCAAGGAGGAAATTAAAAAATAAAACCGCTCCACCCTCATATCTTGATATTTTTATAACATTCAAAGAATCACAATGATCTGTCCTAAACACCATTAATGAAGAATGTGCTGACTAAGCAGTGTCTGTGTTTGTTGCAGACTGAACAAAACTCAGAAAAAAGATAAAAGCATTTTAAATGTTGTTGTTTAACTCAGCAACCAATAAACTTTTTCCAATGTGCTTAATCTTTAATATCAGTTGCTTTTTCTTCTTCTTCTTTTGGCTGCTCCCTTCTTCAGGGGTCGCCACAGCGAACCAAGTCGCACAAAGACTTTGCAGTTATTTTTACGCCGGATGCACTTCCTGACGCAACCACAGACACCGAGCTACCACAGCCCTCTGTGTGGAGCAGAGAGCTGCTATCTGGGACACCCAGAGGAGCAGATGGTGGGGGTTAAAGGTCTTGCTCAAGGGCCCAGAGTGGGATGAATGAGGGTGGGGGCAGGTGTGGGTGCTTCAGCTACTCCACCCACATTTTTGATGTTGTTGGTAACGGGGCTTGAACCGGCGATCTTCCGATCACAGGCCCACCTTCTCTAACCTCTGTGCCACCACTCCCCATAATCTTTAATATCAGTATTGTGAGTCAATTACAGCAAATCTCTCAGGAATTTGATTTGATCAACTTCTTGTAATCATGTACTGAGACAGAAAACAGGCGACTATTTTCAAACTGGATTTTTTTCCCCAAATTGAGCTAAAAATAATAATATTAGCCTCCTAAATATTTAACTTGTTTGACAGGCTTTGAAAAGTACTTAATTTTTTTATTTTTAATCAGTGTTACAAAATCTTGGTCTTTTTTTCCAGTTCATTTACTAAAACAGTATTTAAAGTGAGTAAATACATGCTGCAGTGCAAGCACAAACAAGTCTAGATTTTTTAAAGGGTTTCAATTTAGGGCTATATATCAAAAAGCAGCTGAGGCCAGCGTATTAAATGCTAAACAAGAGTCAAGTATTTGCTTGCAATCGCAAAACAACCACTTTCATCAGATTTTATTTCCTTGACTGACAAGGCAGCTGTACAAGCATTAGTCCATTTGCACATCATGAATTTAAATGCACTTTTGTCCCCCCCCCCACTGTGTAATTTGCATTTTGTGACAGGTGGTTTTACATGAGTTTGTTTCTTTGCCGTATAATAGATCAATGTCTTCTGTAGGAGTAAAAAAAAGAAGAAGAAAGAAACAGATTTACAAACAAGTTAAATTACCTGATACTACTGTGTAGCCTTTACTGAGGAGAGCTGCAGCCATGGCCTTGGAGTTCTTGAGTACCTGGGCAATGTATTCTCTGAACATTGGCGCTTGTGCCTGGACACACCAAAACAGAGGTGAACAGTGAAAGAGTTAGGCTAGCTGTCCATGAAATAATATGAAGAATGTCTCTCCCTTGAACGGATCGTCTTACAACAGGAAACAGTATGATCAAATCCAACAAAGTTCAGTCAGGTCATTTGGACGGTTAGTTTTTGGTTGAGACATTTCGTCCTTCATCCAAAGGACTTCATCAGTCCGATGAGTTGCAACAAACTCAGTCCCACAAGAAGCACACTCACATAGTGGACCAACTAGTTTGCTGGTGATAAGATCAATGCTCTTGTCTCCCCTCCCCTGCGGAATGTCTGCGTCACTATGTGCGGGGTATTTTTTCAATATCAGACTATCTCTCCTCGGCCAGGGAGTGAGTTAGATAAGATTTTTTTGCCTCCAAATCCATATGCGTCACTTTCATCACTTTTTGTCTGTCTAAACAGGTCTCACTTGTAAATGAGTCTTTAAGGGTCAATGTGATTTATCTGTGTAAATAAAGGTTGAAAAAAGATGGGTGACGAAGTCCTTTAGATGAAGGTTAAAATGTTGCCAAAAATAAAAATACAGATGGCTTGACTGAACTTTGTTGGATCTCTTTTACCTGGATTATCGAGCATGAACTTTGAGGTTTTGAACCACTTTGGCTATGGCTTCTCAGAAGAGTAGACGAGGAGAGGGTGGGCCCCAGAAACCATCTTATCACCAGCAAACTGGTTGGTCCACTATGTGAGTGTGCTGGTTGCGGGACTGAGTTTGTTTGTGGCGCCTCGGACTGATGAAGTCCTTTGGATGAAGAATGAAACATTTCAACAAAAAAAGAAACCGTCCAGATAACTTGACTGAACATTGTTGGATTTTTTGACCTGGATTATTGAGCATGAACTTTGATATTATGATTGAACAGTAGAAAAATGTTGTATAAGTGTGACTATACTAATGTCTCTGTGGTAAGATTCTATTTGTATAATGAAGTTGCTTAAACTTAATGTCACTAATCAAGTTATTCTGTTGTTTGGTCTCACTAAAGGTGGACACTTGTGCTGAACAAACCTGCTTGAGAGCCACAGCTACACCAGCAATGGCGTGGTTGTGAGGTCCCCCCTGCAGGGAGGGGAACACCGAAAAGTTGACCTTGTCTTCCAGGTCATACATGATTTCCTTTCCTTTCTTGTCCACTGAGCGAACACCTTTACGATAAAAGATAAGACCAGCCCTAAACAGAACAGAACCAACACATGGAAAAACAATCTCATATTATAAAAGAAAATTGCACAAGCTATTTTTGATTATTTGACTCGTCTCCATCGTTTGCTTCTTTGGCCCACTGACCATCCTTACCTTGCTCCTCTGAGGGACTTGTGTGTGGTGGACGTGACCAGGTCAGCATGATCAAAGGGGGAGGGGATTGCTTTGGCTGCCACCAAACCACTGATATGAGCCATGTCAGCAAGCATGTAGGCATTAATTTCTGTGCACAGCTGATACAAAAATGATTTAAAAAAAAAAAGGCAAGAAATTGAGTATAAATTGCTGCCAGCAACTGCTTTAGTACCATCAAACTAAGCCACATGGTGCAACAAGCCGTTATGAATCAAGAATTGTATTTGGTTTCATATGTAAACATTTAAGCTAAAACAAGCTCTTATAGCTTTTCTACATTTGCATTTTGTCTGCACAATTAAGATTTGATAACTTACTCTTCATCTGCTAGCGATACCTATTTTCTCAAGGGGAAGATATTTCACAATGTGTAATTACACTCTCATCTGCAGTCTTAAGAGGTCTGAAATATTATAGCAACATTCCATAAATCCATGCTTTCACTTGCCAGCTGTATTGAAAAAGGCAGAAACAATAAATAGCAAGCTAAAATGTAAATGACTCTCTGGCGACTGATCAGAGCAGTAAACAATCTTTTGAGTGTTCCAATTAAACTGTATTATCAAGACAATCTTCTTTCCCCTTGCATCTAAACTGGATCAGAGTGTGTGTATTAGAGGAAAAAAGGAGGGTAAAGTGGGTAAAGAATACTAGAGCACGTTTTGCTATGGTTAGAGGCCAAAAGAGTAACAAACTCAGAGAGAAAATAGCACGCCAGTAAAAAGCCTGGCTACAGAGTTGTTATGGTGGTTAATAAAAACACAGCTCTGTAATGGTGGGACACTCCATCTGATGGTACTATCTAAAGTGGAGCTCTGCTACAAAGGGAAGCAGTCACGGAGTGAATGAAGTGAATCAGCAGGTTGGTATAACAAAACAGATAAAGGGTCCTCTTGTGCACCATGAAAGAGGGCAGTGAAGTATGTGTTTAGAAGTTGCTACTGTGTGCTGAGAGAGAGTTTAGCAGGCAACAAAGCTCCCTCTATAAAAACTAGTATTGCGACAAAAACCATTTGTATTCAGAAATGATAAACATTTAAAAAGTGAATGATTTATATTAAATGAAAGATCTCAAATGAAAGACAGAAATGAACAAAATCTGTGTCTGCAAGAAAATCAGGCCAGGTTTGACATACCTTTAAAGGTTGTAGGTGTGTTTGACATTTCAGTGAACGGGCTGGATTAGTTTAACATTGGAGGACAAAGCTGGTCTGATCTCACTTACACGGAGAGAAGTGGAGGAAAAAACAGGTAGCAACCAAAAAAAAAAAAAAAAGACAGGACAGGGTGAAAATAGGGTGAGGTTGTTTGAATAAAGGGATTTCAATTCACCTTCTTGATGCGGGCATAGTCAATGAGGCGAGCATAGGCGCTGGTGCCAGCGATGATGAGCTTGGGCCGGAACAGCTTGGCTGTCATCTCCATCTGCTCGTAGTCTATGAGTCCCGTTGCAGGCTGCAAAAAAAGTACCAAAAAAAAAAGCGAGACAGGTTGAGAGAAAAAGTAATGAAAGAAGCATGAATACAGAAGAAGTGGAGGAGGAGGAATATGAGAATATTTGTAGGAGAGTAAGAGTCAAGGAAAGAGGAAACATGAGAAGATAAAAAGTACGATGTCTAGAGATCAAGAGTGAGCATATCGACACGGAAAAGAGATTTTTCCATTTGATGCTCATTTGAAGCTGCTGCAATTTAAGTACTTTGGCTGCTTTAAAAGGGGAAAGAATCTATCTAAGGGAGACATTTACACCTATCATATCGTGGAGGAAGATGGAGCAATTGCAGTAATGCACCCCTACTTATCCAAATGCAGCCTTTTAGGGATCTGCTAAACTGGTGTGATGAGGCTGAACAGATGAAGCAGGTTTTAAGACTCTCCCTGCTTTTTTCAATGACCCAGGATATTTCAGAAACGTGTCAGTTGATACAAAAATCTGAAGAAGGAGTTCAGAGTCACATAAAATGACCCATGTCTGGTGCCTGAATCTACAGTTTTGCCCTTCTAAGTTTCCTCCAAGCATTCACGTAGTGACAATAAAAGTCAGCTCAATTCAGCAGAAAAACAAAGTAGGAGACAGAAACAAGGGAAACTGGGGTGTCAGAAACATGGACAAAGGAGGGAAAAGAGGAGAAAGTTTTATTTAGACAACCTGATAATCTCCCATCTCCAGAGCACTTCTTTGGATGCCCCCTCACTCCATCAACCTGCTCATTGTGAAGACAGAGCCAGTGATGCTGGCCAGCCTGTCGATTTCCCATTATCTTTCCCACAGAGGGGTCTTGCCTGCCCATACATCAGCAGGCCTGGACATGCAGACCCTCTGTGTCATCCATCAGCTGCTATCAACACTATTACAAAACCTCAAACCCTCAGAATAAAATACATTAAACACGGACTGAAATATAGCTACTGTAGTTGCCATGTGTATATATGTATATTTTAAAGATTTCAGCACAAGTAAACAACCCTAACACTGCGTATCAGTATAACATTATGCAAGGTGGGCATACATCAACTTAAATCCCCTCTTTAAGTAAGTAGCTGCCAACAAGTGTCTGCTGGGTTAATATTTGAGTAAGAAATAAAGTCTCTATTCTGTCTGACTTATTTCATCTAAATGTAAGCAAAGAAGCAGAAAAAAAAACTTTAAAAAGAAAATCTAGAGTCCATTTAATCTTTCAGCAAATACCCAAATACATTTTATTCAAAAAGACAAATAAAAAAAAGCAGTAAGTTATTATTCCAAGTCTTCACGTGTAATTTATAATGCATGACACCAACTCAAGTAATAAATAAGAGTAATGGGTGCAGCTGTCACCCCAGGGACTTCAACAAGACACTTTTAGGACTCCCTAACAAGGAGCCAGATATTTTAACCAGATAAATGCCATCAGGTCAACCAAGGCTAACTGTGGTTTGATAATATCCTAAAAAGATATTTCTGTGTATAAACAGTGTGCTGTTTTGTATTAAGTATTTTTTAGAGGATGTATATTATTTTGAAATTAGTGATGCACGATATTGGATTTTTGGACGATATCTAATATGCCGATATGTTAAAACTTATTTGTCCGATAACCGATATCAATACCGATATTTTTTTCCTAGACCTACTTACAGAGACTACACAGCTTTCTCTGCTGTGGAATTAAAATACTACATTATTCTGCATGGTCTTTGCCACTTTGGCCTGCTACCAAATGCAGACGCCAAAAAAAGGTCTGAAAATTATGTAACACTTCAACATGGATTATTTTATTTTTATTTATCCTTTATTTATACAGGTAGTCTCACTGAGCCATGAGAACTCATTTTCAAGAGAGACCTGTTCAGGGAGCAAATGGGGGGTTAAGGGCATTGCTCATGGGCCCAGAGTGGGGCGAATGAGGTTGGGGGCAAGTGTGGGTGCTTCACCTACCCCACCCACAATTTTTTTTTTTTTTTATGTTGTCGGGGCCGGGGCGTGAACCGGCGATTTTCCGATCACAGGCCCACCTCTCTAACCTCTGCGCCACCACTCCCCATATTGATTATGTTTAATGCAGTGGTTAATTTGAGCCGGATCCTGCCGGAACAAGATCTAGGAACTCTCATTTTGACCTGTTCTGTTCTGGTAACTCTTTCCTCGGATCCGTCAACTCCACCCCTAAAAGTTCAAAGTCATCGCATTTTTATTTTGATTATTTATTTAAAAAATACAACAAGAGGAGACGTTGCCCTCAGCCCAGCAGACCCAGTCTGTGGATATTCCAGCCACAGCATGCATGGCGAACCAGCTACACGCTCCTTGGAGGAGCAGGAGAGGAGCCTCTAGGCGGGGTGTGTGGGGGGGTTGTGGTGAGGTCGGATCAGATAGTCACATTTACGCACAGAGGTGCTGCGCGGAGTCCTTGTCTCCTGCTCCTCTCCAAATATTGTCCCTCCTCAGCAGGGCCGCGCACTGAAAAACACCCCCTCTCCCCTCCCCTCAGACCCCCGAAACAGAAACGATCATTTATTCAACAGAATAAATAAATTCCCTGTGGACAGTGCACGTTACGCACAGAAACGTCTCCAATCTCTACCCTGCGCGCGCACACATCAGCAGGTGTCTTAACTCCTGCTACATTTCAGACAATAAATTTTAAAAAAGCTTACTGTAAAAAATAAATAAAAAAATGCAAAGAGAGAAATGTTTGATGCGTTATTCACATTATACGTCACGTTTCAAAACAACGATGCTAATTTGTCAAAACAACAGCGATCAAAATGTCAAAAAGACAGTCCAATTTACTTTAATAAAACATGGATGGATGGATTGATTGACTGACTGATTGTCCTTAGTTGGACAACAGAGAATTGAAGCCTTCAGGTGCTTCAAACGGTGCCACGAGACTGGAGCAGGAGCGAAGAAGAGTTCAGCTCAGAAGCGTGAAGTGAGAGAAGGGAGGAGGGGGTTTAGGACACCTGACAGAATCAGAGCTGCTGCACACACAACCTGCTGTTCTTCTCCAAAATAGTAATTTGATTAAGTGCTTACAAATGTAGGTAAATGTTGATGTATAACAACCCGTTTTTCTGTTATTCAACACTTACTGTGAGAGGACACACGTGATCCCTATTTGAAATGTGTCAAATGATCAGTTTGGTTGTTTTATTTATCTGTGTATATTATTTTTTCTAAAATGTCCAGCTGATTATGGTATATAATCACAACCATATAGCCCAACACATTTGCACTTTAACATTTTAGGGTGACCATCATCTGGATTTAAGAAGTGTGTGAGAGATTTGAAAAGTACTGGGGGCATTTCTGCTATGTCACTCTGTCACTTTTATTTTTATTAAGGCAGCGCAAATACATATTTATGTTCGGGTGCTTTTGATTTTGCACTAATTGGTAAAACCAAATCGAAACTTAAAACTAAAACAACTAAATCAGTGGTTTTAAAATATGCAGAAAACTTTTAACATTTTTTTTGTCCGACATTTTGATGACACTATAGCGTTCTTTTTCTGCTACAGTTTGTATTGACTCGTTTCATCACCTTTAAAGCTTATAATGTATTAAGAATATATGCAGACAAGCTGATTATGTCTACTTACATTTAACTTGTAGGGCATGGACTCAAAATAGATTGAGGTTGCAGAGATCCTCTTCACATCAGACATGTAGCCATGTGTCAAACTGGAGTGACAAAATGTACAGTTTTATTACAAACAGTGCTCTTTATGATTAAAAATATTTTAAGCTTAAGAAATTGTACAGGGACATAACTAAAACGATTATTTAGGCCACTTGTATTATCGATAAAAAATAAAAAAATAAAAAACTGGAATAGATTTTAAAAAAAGGACAATAGAAAAAGGTGACATAAAAGCAATTGAACACTGACTGTCCTCCATCAGGCAGGTCCAAGCCCATCAGACGTTCATGGGGGTTGAGCACAGCGGTGTAGGCAGCAAAGTTAGCAGGAGAACCAGAGTACGGCTGGACGTTGACACCCCACTTCTCTGGGTTCAGGTCAAAGGCCTCCAAAGCTCGTTTCTGACATAAAAGTTCAATTTGGTCAACCACCTCAGCTCCACCGTAGTACCTGCAGTCAAGGTCGAGAGAGAGAGTTTACAAATATGTAAAAAATAAAAAATATGTACCAATACTGGAAACAAAATTTAACAAAGATTTAACTTATTTTTTGCAATTTAAGCATCTAAATTGCAATGTTCCTGATTCTTTGGGGGGCTCAGAATATCCTTGGTATATCAATAACTTAAACAACTAATGATTGACCGCACAATGTGACGGTGGACTATTATTTAGTATTTTAAGTTTTTTTTTCTTTATATCATTAACTCCTGATGGAGGAAAGTTCTCTATAGATTAGCCAGTACAAAGGAAATCCTTTCATGTTTTCTAATAAACTGTAAAATCGCTTCATAAAAATGCTTCTACACTTTCTAGCATTTGCCACAAACGGAGCCAATGAATAAAAACAAATAAATCAACGAATGATGATCCCAAAGAGCTTCAACAGATTTGGGGCACATCAGGTGAAAAATACTTAAAACACATTTCAGCAGAATTGCAGATAAAGGAACAACACACAGCTGCAGCACAAACCTTTAAATCAATGAAATGTTCGTTTTGTTTCATTACATTAAAGCATAAAGCAGCAGATGAGTGGGATGTTGGGTGGGGGGATAAAATTAAAAACACATACAGTGGGAGGGAGATTTATGAGAAGCTTGTATTCCAGGATTCAAATGGCATCAAACGATTAGCATTCTAAGCATGCCAGCTCTCAGTTTGCTGCTGATAAATGTAAATTATCCAAAAGAAACAACAGGAAACAAAAGAAAAAACATTCAGTTATCACTTTACAAGACAGAGGCTGTGGATTATTTACTATACGTTTAGGTTGTGACTCACAGGCTGCCTAAAGAAGTAAGAATAAAATTAGTATGCGTCTGTGTGTGTCTATTTTTACATGTCTGTAGCAAATGTCCTCAAGCACAGAATATCAGCAGTGTTAATAAGGTGAGGTGTGGCTGAATAAACATCTACCTTTTCCCTGGGTAGCCTTCTGAATATTTGTTGTTCAGGCAGGAACCCTGAGCTTCCAGAGCTGCTCGACTGCAGAAATTCTGTGGTGTGAACACACACAATCAAACACACACTCGGATCAATGAAACAAGAGGATAGAAGAGACAAGGACGGCAAATTAAAGTCTGTTAAGTGATAGTGAGAAATCCCCCTCTGGCAAGTGGCAATCATTACAGTATTGAACCTCTGGACATCCATAGACTAACACTCTACACTTCACAGTGCTTATCACCAAGCTGCTGGAGGATACAAGATAATGTAATAAAAGTCTCCATACATGTTGAGGTACAATTTTCAGGCCCTCCAACAATAATTTCTCTATTTCAGGGAAAACAAATATGTTTTTTTTTTTAGGAAAATAAGCACAGATCTAAACAAAGGTCAATAATTTGACAACATTTACAGTTAAATGCATTCATAACTCCTTTTCTTCATTTATTTTTGACTGGGTGGTTGTGGTGCATCATATGAGTGCTTATGCTAATGCCTCACCAAGGAGCAAAGAGGAGATCAAGGAAGATTACAGCTCCAGTAACAGCTTTCTGTTGCATCCGTCTGTCATGCCGATAACTGTGCATATATTAGCAACGGAGGTGTGTTTGGTTCAGTGTTTGAGGTGTGTGTGTGTTGGGCAGACAAGTGTGTAAAAATGTACGTCTTCTGACTCCAGCAGTGTCTGACAGACTGTACCGTTATGGGCTTCGCAGAGTGAGTTAGGAGAGAAGCTGAATGAAGATATCAGCTTCATCTCACACTAGAGTGGCCAGGCTTTGTTTGGAGAAGAGGCTGATATACTCCACTGAACAACTATTGTGGTAAAGAAGAAACAAGAGGGGAGGGAGAAAAACAAAAGACAAAGCCTTGTGTGGCCTTCTGAATAGTAAAACTCTCCATTTCACGGAGCCTTGCCCAGGAATGAAAACAAACGGGCTGCCCAGTACAACGTTGTTGCTTAAAGCAAGGCCAGTTTCCTGCAGCATTTTACAACTAAAAAAGACAATTTCTAATAATTTTACTGCAGTGTGTCACTGGGTGACAAATTAAGGTTTATGGAGGCCAATATTCATCTGTTCTAGTCAAGTTTTTACAATAAATATTTTATAATTACAGTTTACTAAAAAATACAATTCTATAAACCTTGTAGTGTTAAAGAAAAAAAGGACAACCAGTGCTATAAAATACAATTCCCAGATCATTTAGAAACCTGAGTCACGACTAGTTTGCACTCGATAAAATGTTAATGGCCTTTTTATTTGTTGTGCTTAATGCACCACATTCAATGTAATAATTGAAATGGAGTTTATATCCGTTTAGTTTTTAGAAAAATGTAATAAAAAGACTTCAATCATACTAATGGCAGTACAATGTAAAATAAATAGAATCATGATAGATGATAAATGAAGCAAGCCTACAAATTCACCTGACTGGCAAAATGTTAATCAGAGATGAAGTGTTTTCAGTTACCTGCACAAAATACACGTGTTGCCAACTCTTACAGAGTGAGTAAGTGCTTTTGTTATATCTTTAAACACAAGGAAACCTAAGCAGTGTAAGAGGATGGAATTTCTACTAACGTAACTTCATAAATAAATTAAACAAGATCAAATTGCAATCAGAATATTGGAAACGTCACACTTCATAGTGAGAAGTTTACAGCAATGAAAAACTCATTGTGCCTGTTTTCTTAAGCTGCTCGAGAGGATAAAATGTGATTCATTGAGGTCACCTGGTAACTTTTTTTTTTTGTTTAAGTGAAAATTTATAAAAGTAGAAAGCGCCAGTGGAGGATTAAAAGCTCTGGAGAAAATAAACCAATACATAAAATTATTTTCTTCAATAGCTGGACATTTCACATTTGCCAAATATACATAAAAGTAAACTTAAAAGTTGTAATGGCATTTTCTCCAGACCAAGCGGAGGATTTTTTAAATTATCAAAATATATCTGGTTGATCAACAAAAAAAACATCAACCCAACAAGAACACCTAAAGCTGAACATTGACTAAAATAAATAACAATAAAGTGTAAATACTTTGAAATTTCTACAAAATGGTACTACAAAATAAATTGTGGAACAAAGACGTTAGTTGTTCTTGAAGGTAAGCAAAATAAACAAGATTAAAAGGTACATAAAAATAAGAACTTGTGAAAGATTGAACAAAATAAAAACTGTGATAAATGTTTAATCTGCATTAAACAAAAATCTGTTGTGAGAACTTTTGTTTGGTGCAGGTCCAATGAGACATAAACAGAACCATCTTCAGAAAACAGGCACCTTTCTACAGTCGCTGAAAATCTACATTTACACGTCTTGTAAAAGAGCCGTGGAGATGACCGTCGTTACTTCTGCAGTGAATGAATTTGAAAACAATGACATTTTGGACAATTTCTTATTCCATCAATTCAAAGAAGTCTGATGTAATTTTTAAAGATGAGAAAACAAAACATTTGCCATAGAACAAAGAGCACAAACCTTTTTCAGGAAAAATTTATAAACTCAGTGGTTTGGCCAATAAATGTTCTATCAGTTAAATGCTATAAAAACATGGAAGTTTCATTAATAAAGAGTCTTGTTTTCCATATGTGATGATTTGATGTTTTTTTCTGTACTTACTCTGAAGAAGTTTGTAAAGTAGCAATGTTCTTAATATTCTGAGTTAGGTTTTACAACATCAGACTGTTTAGGTATTACATAGAATAGGTTCCTCATTTTAGCATTTATAGTTTGATCATTTTTTCCAGGAGTTGTTTAATCATGGTTGAGAATTCACGTCACCCTTTTCTCAATAACCAGTTCTTTGAATCAGTGTCTACTTCAAATAGTTCAATGCAAATCAACTAAACAAGAACACAAAAGGAGACCACTTCCACGCGGTGGAAGTGGTCTCCAGCTACAAGTACTTGGGTGTACACATGAATGACAACCTCAGCTGGAGCAACAACACCACCAGCCTGATCAAGAAAGCTCATCAGAGACTCTACTTCCTCAGACGGCTGAGGCGAGCTGGTCTGGGAAGCTCAGTCCTCACCTCCTTCTACAGGTGTGCAGTGGAGAGCATCCTGTGCTCGAGCATCAATGTGTGGCGTGGAGGCTGCACAGCTGCAGAGAGAAGAGCTTTGCGGAGAGTGGTGAAGGCTGCACAGAAATCTGTTGGAATCAGTCTCCCCACCATCACAGACATCTACACCTCCAGATGCAGGAAGAGGGCCACCTGCATCATGAAGGACCCCACCCACCCAGCACACACACTTTTTGCCCCACTCCCCTCAGGAAGGAGGTTAAGGAGCATTAAGTGTAGAACCACTAGACTGAGGAACAGCTTCTACCCTGAGGCTGTTAGACTCATGAATCTCTAACTAGAATAATCACTGTGAAAAACCATATCATGTTGCTGCTGATCTGTTTCATGTTGCTGCTGATCTGTTTCAATGTTGATGTGTTCATGCGTGCACATCTGCTCACAGACTCATGTTCATGTTTGTGCTGATGTTCAATGTTTTATGTGTGCATGAGTGCTTAGTGTATATTTAGTTGATGTTTTTCTTAGTTCATATCTTAGATGTTTTTACTGTTTTTCTTAGACATTTTATTGTTGGATGTAACTGGGACCCCGTGTACATAATTTCGCTCCACCACATGTACCACATGAGGTGTGAATGACAATAAAGAAACTCTGACTCTGACAAAAGCAAATGCTTTGTTGTTAAAGTTTAAGTACCTCCGATGCAATTAGCTCCAAACCACGGCTCTGTCTGTCCTTCTCCTTCTGCAGCAGAGCCCACATTTCAGGGTCATCCTCAGCCAGGCTCTCCTGACCAGTCCAAGGGCGATCTTCATCTGATGTACGGGTGGCTGCGTGGGACTGCTGGAGACGCACACTGAGGCAAACAGGGGCCCGGTGGTACAGTGGCTGAGGGGAGGAGGACATTTGTATGAGAGAAGAGGGGAAATGGTTAAACTGAAGCATGTCAACGTAAAATGTATTTTCTGAAACTGGACTATCGCAATAGCTCATTATGAATCATGAAGACTGACAAGCTGCTGAAACACCAGGAGAAAAAAAAAATCATATAAATTAACATTTTTGATGAAAGTTGTGGGCACTTCAAGGGCTCAGAGCAAGTTACACAGAACATAATGTCTCTATAATGCATGCATACTTGATAACTTCACATTTTCAAAGTGGCAGCCTGATTTGTTTGATAAGGACTCTTTTGAAGTCCTTTCCTCTACTTTTTATTCTTTCACCCTAATATGTAGCCTGGCACAATTAAAAGCTTGTGTGTTTGCGTGATATCAATAATCAGCATGGTTATTCAATTATGCCTCCATCAGCACTTCTGCAAACTGAGAACTGACTTTTACAGCCTCAGTGTACCAAAAAGGAGGCAGAAAGAGAACAAATTCAGCACTTCCTGCTTATCTAATCTGGACTGGGGCTGGCAAGTTCTACTGCTGCCACTGCAATGCTGGATCCCACCAGACTGAACAGACTAAAATTGAAACAAGCTCTTTTAAAAACCTTTACTGAATTAAACTGCTATTTTTTTCTGGATTTGTGTCAGTAGTCATGAAATTATATAGAAAATAGTTTTTACCCATGGATAAAATGTGTATATAAACATTTGACATCAAAAAAGAAGGAAAAAAATGTTTTGTTGAGGAATGCATGGAGGTCAAGAAAACTCCTCAACAGGTTGATTGCATCTGGAACACACTTGCTCCTTGATGACATTTAATCAACAATATGATGATGACTCTGTGCTTAGATCGATCGCCCTGCATCTAACCTATAGTTATCATCTGCACAGGTGTGCTGGGGTGTGAGGGACAGCCTCCCTTTAATAGCACTATTAAAAAGCAATTAACACAATGCTTGGGACTAGATCAAGACATCCATAATAGAAAGCTATTATGCTCTTTCCAAGTCCAATAAAAAACTTTTGTAAAGGATTACATTGTTTAAAGTAATTAATATAAGCCTAGAACCTGTGAAAACCAAAATGTTTCAACCAAAGGAATCTGATAAAAAATTGTTCTTGGAATTTAGTAACTTTTTTTGGGCTCATTCTAAACCCAGTTCCTCCTCCTGTAGCTTGCTGTTCTGGCTGAGATGATGATGAAGACACACCAGGGTAAAGATGGCACACTGATGAACAGTTTCTAACAGTCCCTACCGTGGCCTTCTGTCACCGGTGGTAGTAGAGATTTTGGAAAAGACGAGAGTGCCCCTTTCAAAGATTTGGAAGACATTAGGGCAAAGAAAGACAAGTTGAGCTGCATCTGAAAATGTGTTTCTCACCAAGAAATCACATGGGTCATTAAATCTTGACAGAAACCATCCTTTGCTCTCTGCTGGAGCAAACCATGCCCAAGGATGAAGCGGCTAACCCCCCTGCACAAGTAAACAATACATCTACTAACTACACAACAAACAAAGAAGTCTCATTGCTCCTCACTTTCCCTTTTCCCCTCCTGCTGTCCACATCCTGTCAACTGGCTCTGTTAGGCCAACTCAGCCATGTAATGCTCATATGGCATCTTTATTTGGCATCCATGTGAAACAGCTTCAGCAAACATACAGGTTAGTCCCTGTGATCTGTCTCTCTCTCTCTTTTTTTGCTTCATTTATCAGCCCTGATCATTACGGAAGATTAATTAATAAACACAAGATAAAGAGATCCAAGTGAAGCGAGAACCACGATGCAAGCACCAAATATGTCACAGTGAGACTATTTTTAGGCAACAGATTACACTGTCGTTTGAAGGTGAACTTCACAAAAACTCAGTTGTGAGAAAAGGGGCACAACAGGCCACATAAACCTGGGTGCTGCGCACCAAACAATGCACTACATCTTTGAGACAATGATGAGGTAATTGTTGACACTTTGCTTTTCTTGTCAAGCATCTGTAAACAAAGAAAAAGAACAGACAATGAAAGTAGAATATTTTTTTCCCATTAATTCTACTTCAGTTATATTTTTGCCCATTTCCTGAACCAGTTCCCAAGACAAGTCAATTTTACAGATGACTGCTGTCTTTCAGTGGCTATAGCAAACAACAATCAACCCTGTAACACAAGGAAAACAAGCCCGATGATAGTAGAGAAACAGTGAAGGAACAAAAGGGATCTAAAAGAAAGCAGAGAAGTGCCAACAGGGCAGCAGCATCCGTCAGCTTGACACGTAGTTGCCCCTTTCTCTGTCACTGACTAATAGCAGGACTGTCTGTTACAAATTGCCCTGTGATTCACTCTGGATGACACCAGACTGAGAAATCTGGATTGAGTGGAGAGACACAAAAGGGATGGAGGTGCAGTCCAGGGCGACTTTATCAGGATCAAAGGTCTGTTATGATGACAGAGACTTAAGAGATGCAGCTAATAAAGCCAATCTTCAGGAGATATAGGTAGTAGAATGAAACCTTTATGCTTTAATTATTCCACAACATTTAGTCTTTTACCAAAGTAGAAAATATAGAGGGAGCATGTCTTTACAGCCTGGTGCCCCAAGCGCACACATCCAGTAAAGCTCCTGGGTTAGGCCGGGCTCTTGACCTTTGTTGCACCATCAAAATCTAAAGGGTGCTCTAGTTTAGACAAATTAATGCTATTTAAGCCACTTGAACAACCTATATCTAAAGAACAAACTTTGTGTGCTCTTCTTTTACTTTTGTCATCAGGATGCACATGACCTTTTGAATGTGCTTTTGGATATCCACCACATTAATTTAATCAGGTATGAGCATCTCAGACAGTGAGGGTCCATATTATTAGCAAAATATATTACTGGCATTCAGAGCATGAATGCATGTCATAAAATAAAGTACAATCTACTATAATCTATGCAGTACTCTGTGATATTCACATTATGCAATCTAATACTGCAATCATAATTTTTCAATATATTGTGACTATTGCCCAGACAACAAACAGTTTTCAAAGATCAAACCTAATTGTTATATTAAAAACTTGCGATAACAGCAGCAACAACAAAAAAATGCCTGGCACACAAACTGGACAAAGACTTCTCTAATGTGGATCCCATGAGGACATAAAAAGGCTGTGAATGTACAAACATGTACTGAAATTATACCCATCTTGTGAGCATAATACAATGTACTAAATCAATTAGTACCCATTTTAAAAAAGCATGTGAGCTACATTAAGTCTTTATTAGGGGCCTTGAACACACTGGAAAGTTGTAAGTCTGAGTACAAAAAATTGGTTGCAAAATTTGTATTTTCAAAAACAAAAAAAAGGGTGAAATTCATAAAATCTCTAAGTAGGGTACTTGATCTAGGCCTGCCGCGATAAACAATAAATCAATTAATCGCATGAATGAAAATTATCGACCTCGTTTTCATTTACCGGCTTCATCGTTTCTTCGTGTCTCTCTTTCTACTGAAGACGAGGCTAAACTCCGGGAGAAGGGGTTTTCTGCAGACCAAAAGTGGGAGTTTCTGGAGAATAGGTGTTTGTAGGCTGTCTCTTTAGGCAAGTTATGTCAGCTCTTTTTTTAAACTGAAGGTTTCTAAGAAGCAGCGTAATATCTGCTGTCAAACACAAGAAGATTCTCTTTTGTTCTTGGGTTGTAGGCTGCACCCGACACAGGTTGGCTTGAGTGTGATCTGGGTACAATGAAATATGAAGCAGCTGAAGCGAAACCTGCTCCCATTTGTCAAAAAGTCTGGTCTCAATTAAAGATCATGAGTCCTGTAAAGAGATAATGGCCCAAAACAAAAGCTCAAAACAAAATTTGCTCTTTAGAAGTGTTCTTCTATGAGATCTAATTTATGAAAGGAGCTGAAACATGGCCTAGGATTGACCCTTAAAATCAGACAGCTGAGGAAGTTAACCAGTAAACAGAAAAACCTGCTCCAGTTGCAGAAATCTTACAGAAACCGAACAAAAAAATGTGAAGTTAAAGGAAACATCCTTTGTCCCAAAGCCAGTTTAAGTATCATTATTATTTTGATTACTTTATTTTTCTTTTTTATGAATTGATTGCAACTATTTTCACACACAAACCAACCAAAACAGAATTATTTTTTAATGTAATGGCTAGGTATTACAAATCAAACATTTAGCCATCCCCACTACCTATTTATGTTGTTCTTATTTCGAAATGTAACCGGAAGTTCTGTGTTAAGAGGCAGAAAGAAAAGGTATGGAGATGCAGCTAATGTCGAACCGGAAACGCCGCCAATGTCAAACCGGTTAACACCATAGACATAATATGCCTGTGGTTAACACAATCTGCCAATAACGCCTTGTTCTTAGACATAATATGTCTGTAGTTAACACAAACGCCTGTTTTTTTTTTTTATCGTCCAGTCTTTTATTTTTTTGTCCAATCAGATGTGGCCCTCTGGATATGCCCATTTTTCTATCGTCCAATCAGATGTGGTCCTCCAGACACGCCTATTTTTCTATCATCCAATCAGATGTGGCCATCCAGATACGCCTTCCGTATTTGTCTGCAGAGATACCCACTTGAACTCCGGTGCTCTTCACTGTCCCCTCCCTTTCTCTTGTCTCTTTTAAATACATTTTAACCATCCAAAATCACGTTTTTGGATCGTTAAAAGTAGCCAAGCCGAGAAGCTAAGCTACGAGCTAAGCTAACAGACTGATCTCGGGAATAAACCCCTGTCTTGTCGAGCTCCACAATTCATGGTTGAAACCCGTGTCTTTGTGTAAAAAATCATTTTTTTCTGCAAAAAAGAAGCTGAGAACTTCTTTACTGATTTTTTTTCAATTAAAAACTTTATGAAAAATGCTATGCTAAAGAGCTCAAATCACTGAGCGTACAGTGCACCATATCACCATGTCAGCCCATATCATGTCAACAGCCCTCCCTCTCATTTTTCTTAAAGAGACACCTGCTCAACTATCAATTCTTTGGTTCAAACTGTCTTATACTGCCATCAAGTGGTCAAAAAAGGTACTACACACAAAACAAATCTACATTTCTTCTAAAATTTGACAATTATTGTTAAATTTCAAACAATATTATCGTTTATCGCAATCATTTCTGAGACAATTAATTGCCCAGCAAAATTTGTTATTGTGACAGGCCCAACTTGATCATGTCCCAAAATAAGACTGATGCTTAAATATGTGAACCTACGGTCAAATTATGAGGCTTTCTGTAAACTGACACGAGCACCTATCACACCAACGAGGCTGTGATAAAGTCAGTCAAATAAAGACAACTCATCCGTCCATTATCTTTTCCAACCTCTTCCTTTCCGGGTCACGGGGGATCACTGGTGCCCATATCCAGCAGTCACTGTGCGAGAGGCGGGGGGGGACAACCTTCTGGACAAGTCGCAAGTCCATCACAGGGACACATAAGAGACAACCATTCAGTCTCTCCATCACTTACACCTAGGGGCAATTTAGAGTTACCAATCAGCCATGCATGTTTTTGGTCAGAGAGGACACTGGAGTACCTGGAGAAAACCCATTCATGCACAAAGAGAACATGCAAACTCTACCCAGAAAGGCCCCTGGCTGCGATTCGATCCGGTGACCCTCTTGCTGAAAGGTAACAGCCCTACCAACTGAGCCACTATGCTGCCCAAAGACTATTCAAATAAACATAAAATTACAATGCTTTTCTATACAATATTTTTAAGTGTACAAGTTATTTTTCTTTGTTTTTCATTTTCTGCCATATCAGAGGTCGCCACAGAGGACCATCCGCCTCCAAGTCCAATTTCCACAGACATTTTGCTGGTTAACAGCAGTGAAGGCAGTCTTTGTCAGATAAATCAACATAGTTATTGCTGAGGTTGAATTTACCAGAACTAACATTGGTGGTTTTATTTCTTTTAGCATGTGCATAATAAAGTGACAAATCCAAGTAAGTATAATACCCACAGTAAATGTGCAAGTGTATTTAAAATGCTCAATACTCACAGCTATACTCCAATAAGCAAGTACTAATAGTAAACAGGAAACTCCTGACACAAATAAAATATTACATATTTACTTCCAACAGTAGACAAAAGTACATCATCTGTTGCACAACTATCTTAAGAAGGAAGTTTGAAAGTTAATATTTGCTAGGTGTTAATACAAAAATATTGTAGGCTCATTCTGTACTTAGACTTTGAACAGTATTGGTGCAGAACTTGTCTTGTTTACTTTAGGCTATTCTCCTTACATTATCTTACACGATCTTGCCAAATTCTTTTTTTACATATGAAAATGAGAAAAATATATAATTATATTTTACACAAGGCAGACAGACAAAAAAAAAAAAAGATAAAATTTAAACTTCAGAAGAAAAAGTACATTAAACAAGATAATGGCTTTTGTTAATTCCAGATTTGCTTGTCAAGACTCTTCTTGAACTTTGAAATGCCTACACTCTTAATAAAAGTAAAATCATTAGAAACAATATTGAAAAATGTGGTTCAAATTTTATTGATTTATCTCTTATCAGAAGACACAAACATCAGTGGCTTATCCCCTACTTCGACTGCCCTCATAGATAACACAATCTGGGAGTTCACCTAATGTCAACTCCTAAAGTTTTAGTCAGTTTTATTTAATGTGCAAATAAATATTTTATTACCTTTAGGGATCTCGTTAAATGCTTCTCGTTTACCAAAAAAAAAAAAATATATATATATATATATATATATATATATATATATCATTTTAGCAGATCTGAGTGCAGGTGCAGCCATGAACTAGCAGTCAAACTTTCAAAATAAACATTATTTCACCCCCCCAAAAAATAGTCTTGTACTTATTTACCAAGTTATATAAAAACTGCGTGTTGTTCAATAAACACTTCAATAGTACGTGACGTTGTAACCCAGTAGTTTTGTCTCCCTCATGATGATGACACTGAGAAGTGACTGTTGCATCATACGCTCACAGCTGCAGCAGCTATTTAACTTAACAAACCAACACCTAGCTGCTGCTAGCTCAGCAGCTAGCTAACAGGCGCAAACATTACAAAAATACAACCTAAAAAAGACGCAAAGCACAGCTAGCTGTGTGTTGGTGAAACCAGTGTAACTGCTGCAAATGTTGCTGAACCTAAAGGTGGTCAACTTCATCACCCCGGCTACAATTTAGCACGTACGACCCACACAGAAAAACTAGCTAACAGTTCACCTGCGCAGAAATGCGATGTAGTTACACAAACGAAAACAATGAATGGGAAAAAGAAAATGACACAAAATCTGAACCAGTTAACACAGTTACCCGTGTGAGTTGCTTGAGAGCGAATGACAGCATGTTTTTAGTTGTTAGTCCAGAGGGAAAAGTGCTGCTACACTGACACGCTCCACTGACGGTTTGAAGTGGGAGGATCCAGCCGGGTACAGTCGTCCTGCCGAAAGGGCTGATGGGAAGTGTAGGCTTTTGTTTTCTACCTGGATGATTGAGTTTACCACATTTTTTCCTGAACCACTTTGGCCTTGGTTGACCTCAGGCTGTTTCTGTGAGTAACAAGTTGGCCACCTGGCCTAAAACATTTGATTGTTGTACATGATTGATTGTTTTGGATGGGTGTGCTTTGCACCTGTTAAAATCTACTTTTGAGAGTCCAACAGGAGGTTGACTTGAAGCACAGCAGTGAAGGTTGACTATGGGACTATGTAAGTACAGTCCATTGACCATTTATAAACTTTACTGTGAGACATATTTGCAAACTTTTGCACAATGCAAATATAATATCAAATTTCTCCATATTTGTTTTTAAAAATCTGAAAGGGCACTGACATTCAATACTTACTCCAGCTTGATGTAAATGTCTTGTTTATTATTTTTTAATTATTGCAGTTAACATAACTGATTGCAGTGTTTCTTTGTTTAAGCTAACATTGCAATCTAAAGTGCAATCCAACTGCAGAAAGACTTGAAGTTGAAGGACTTAATCTGTTTTAATGTTTTTAAGGCCATTCTTAATCAGTTTGTAAGTGAGGCTTTTGTTTTTAAATGTTTTAACTGATATCAAATTCTATTTTAGTTCCGTTTTCATTTTGATGTTGTTTTTCTATCTTTTATTTACCATGCTGCATTTTAATTGTGTTTTGATATCTGTGATATGACTGGTAATTGTCTGTCTGCCATTCTTGGCCAGGTCTCTCTAGAAAAATAGATTTTTAATCTCAATGAAATCTACCTGGTTAAATAAAGCTTTAATAATAATAATAATAATAACAATAATAATAATAATAATAATAATAATAATAATAATAATAATAATAACATTTGAAAGTTTTGTTGAGTTGTGCTTTTCTGCAGTTTTTCAGACTTTCCATTTATTCATAAATTCATTTTGTTATACGTACTTTGTCTTGTGATCACAAGGGAGCTGGAGCTCTTTCAGCTGTCGCTGGGCTGGAGGCAGGATACAGACTGGACGGTTTCCCAGTCAAACGCAGGTTCAACAGATCCAACAGAGAGACACAGTCATCTTCATTTCAATGAATTAGTTAACAAAACGTATATTTATGGATTGTGGAAAGAAGCCTAATTGCCTTTTTGAAGCACCTGCAGTGCTGTCACACCTCACCTTTAACTTTAAACATTGGCAGTCATTTCACAAGTTTTGGTGATTTGTTAAGACAAACTTGAAGCTGTTGTCACATATTAAGCTCCTTAGTTTCCAAATAGCTAAGCTCAATAAAGTTTACCATAAGCTGCTGTGCAATGCAATTTTGAAAACCTTTTGTTTGATATTTTTTCTTTAAAACTTATGAACATACAGGAAGATACAGATATCAGCAGAACTCTTGTCAGAAACATATACCCACTCACAAACACGCATGTACAAGTAAGTTTATTGTCTGAAATACAAACTATGTGCAATTATTTGCTTTTGTTTGGAAAGCCAAATGTAGAATATGTGAACAACACCAAAAAAAAATCAGTTTTATTTTAAGAAAAATAGTAACTATTAGATGTCCTGATGCATGCTTAATAATCCAGATAGAAAAATCTAAAAAGGTTGTCAGGTCATCTGGATGGATTCTTCTTTTACTGTAGCGATTAGATGTATCACTTAGCTTTTAGTATCCACATGTAGCTGTTATAGATGTATCTTTGAAAAAAGCAAGTATAAACGTCGATTCTGAAGCTGAATGTATTTTTGCATCATCTATCATCTATACACTCATCTATTATCTTTATCCAACTTCCTTTTTGGGTAGTGGGGGTCACTGGTGCCCATATCCAACAGTTACTTTGTGTAAGGTGGGGGACATCCTGGACAGGTCGCAAGTCCATCACAGGGACACATAGAAACCAAAAAGACAACTATTCACTCTCCCACTCAAACCTAGGGACAATTTATGGGACTTTTCCATAGCTCCTCTTCAGCACGACTCACCTCAGTTCGGTTCGCTTCCGAGCCCTTTTCCACTATCACTTTTTGGTGGAACTGGCACCTTTTATGGTCCCTTCTTTTCTGTGGTACCAAACGAGTCAAGCCGGCACCAAAACGAGATGTCAGAACACTGTCGGTAACTGATTGGTCAGGGGGAGGAGTCATTAGAGGGGTTTGAGAGTTTTTCAAAACAATTGATTAGCCATTTACAATTTACCGGTGTTCGAACTCGAGGAGCGATTGGATCTATTTGTAATAAAAACAATAATGACAACACCGTGGTCTAATGCTGAAGTGCAGGTGTTTTTTGTGCTTGGTGGCAGACGACAAAATTCAGAGAGAGCTAGATGGAGCTCCACCGATCCTCTCCATGGGAGCCTCGGAGCCCCCTCAGGCCATGCAGGGCATCATCTCCACGGCTCCGTGCTCCACCAGTCACAGCGGAAGATCCTCCGTGCTGCTGACTCGGGGCTCAGGCTCTGGGCCAGCCTTGGTTGCTCTGCAGGCTTCGAGCTCCGCTGGTCAACATGGAATATCATATGAGCTGCTGACTCGCAAAAGGCTGTTGCCCGAACCCCGGCCTCGCTTGCTCATGAAGGCCAAACCCCGATCCTGGCAGACCGGGACGGGTCTGGAACGGATGGTGGAAACGATTTTTAAAAACATTTTATGTATAAAAAATAATGTTTTTTTTATTTTTTATTAGTGGATTAGAAAGATAAATAAATGGTGCTGGCTTTATCATGAAATCCTGTTTTCACTTCAATGACTATTAAATAATCTGTTAAAGTTAACTCGGCTGAAAATTCATAAAAAGACACAAAATTATTGGATCTCTCAGGAATATTTCCCTCAAATATATTTAAAGAAGAGATACGGCCTTTAGTTCAACGTTATTCTAATACACAGAAGTACAAATCACAAAACAAGAATTGCACTTTAAATCACTAAAATAAAATAATCAAGAAACAAAACCACATATTTAAATTGAACAATAAAAGTAGACACGAGTGCAAATACATCACATGATGAAGAAAAACTATAAAATTTTAAATATAGTTTTTGTAGAATCTGGTTCATCTGAGATTTAATGGTGAACTAAAGTTAATTAAAAGTTTATTAGCAGGATTTTATATATTATATTACACACACACACATATATATATATAATACCATACCATACCAATTTATTTATATAGCACTTAAAACAGCAACAAGGCCAACCAAAGTGCTGTACAAAAGAACACAAACATGCACAGCAGACAGGAAAACATAAAATAGAAATACAGATACAAATAGCAGCAGAAGCCAACTAAAATGGCCAACAGAGTAGAGAACAGACCAGACCAAAACAAATCACACCGTGTTAAAGGCAAGCGAATAGAAGTGCGTCTTCAAGCGAGACTTAAAGACTGAGAGTGTGGGAGCCTGCCGGACACTCAGTGGCAACTCATTCCACAGTCGTGGACCTGCAACAGAGAAAGCCCTGTCACCCCTGAGCTTACGACGGGTTTCTGGGACTGAGAGAAGCATCTGGTCTGCTGACCTCAGAGAGCGCGGTGGGACATATGGCTGCAGAAGATCAGTGAGATAGGATGGGGCGGAACTGTTCAGTGATTTAAAAACATACATGAGAATTTTGAAATGGATCCGAAGGTGAATGGGTAGCCAGTGCAGGGAGGCCAAAACTGGCGTGATGTGCTCTCTATAGCCTGTACCAGTTAAAAATCGGGCTGCAGCATTTTGGACCAGTTGTAGACGAGCAATGGAGGACTGACTGATTCCAAACAGAAGTGAATTGCAGTAATCAAGCCTAGATGTTATGAAGGCGTGGATCACTGTCTCAAGGTTCTTTTTGGAGAGTATAGGCTTCAGCTTAGACAGCCGTCTCAGCTGAAAAAAACAGGATTTTACCATCATGTTTACGTGACTGTTGAGTTTTAAGGATGGGTCCATTATCACCCCCAGATTAGTGACCTTTTGTTTCTCTAGCGGGGCTAGAGAGAAAAGGTCAATGTCATGGTTCATGAGTGAGCCACTGGGATGGAACAGCATGACTTCAGACTTCTTCTCATTGAAGCTTAAGAAGTTTAAAGCCATCCAGTCCCGGATGTCAGCCAGGCAGTCAAGAAGAGGCTGAATAGAGCGTGTGCCTCTGTGCCTCAGGGGGAAGTAAATTTGGCAATCATCGGCGTAGAAATGAAAGGGTATGTCGTGTTTGAGGAAGATAGCACCTAGTGGCAGCAGGTATAAAGAAAAGAGAAGGGGACCGAGGATGGACCCCTGCGGTACCCCCCACTGGAGCGCTGTCGATGCCGAACTAGAATCTTTGATTCTATATTGTATATTGTATATATATATATATATTTATATATATACATATTATATATATATTATTAATATGGTCGGTTTAATAATCTACATTTTTTCAATTTACCAGAAACTTCAAAATAAATTCTCACCCTGCACTGAAACCTGTTTCAAGTACTGCCACTAGCTGGTGAGGCGTGTGATGTCATTTTGAGCTCCGCCCACTTGAACCAGTACTGAAAGCATAATGAAAACACAACCTGTACCGTACCGAGCCAAGTCATATCGTGCTGTACTGGTAGTAAAAGGTACTATGGAAAACCCACCAGTACCAGAGAAAGCCCACACATGCACGGAGAACATGCAAACTCCACCCAGAAATGTCCCAAGCCAGGATTTGATCCGGCGACCTTCTCGCTCGGAGGCAGCAACTCTATCAACTGCACCGCGATGCCACCCCCTGTTAAATCAGCTTTTTCAGTTTGCTCAGAACTCATTCCAAACTGTTATTTGCACAATGTTTAAAGTGTTTTCTTTATATGTACTGGTAGTTTCATCTACACTCAGCTCTAAGTGAGAATCTGAAAAAGGGAACTAATTTAATAATTCTTCACAAAAGTTCTGCAGAGGTTCTGTGTAACAAAGAGAAAAACTTACTAGCCTTCAGCCCTGAGGGCTTGACATAGGCAAATCTTCATTTAACTCTACACACACACACACACGATAATTGAACAAGGAAAAGAAGGTGTGTAATAATTTAAGGTGTAGGTGCAAACATGACTCACTGAATGTGCTTTTTACTTGCTTCATCAGGAATAGTAGCTATTACATGTTCTGGTGCATGCTTAATAATCCAGATAGAAAAATCTAACAAGGTTAAATCAGGTCATCTGGATGGATTTTTCTATTACTGTGGCTAATAAGTCACACTTTCTCCTGTTCAAATGTTATCAAGAGTCAGATGCATTAGTGTTTAAACATTTTCTATGGACTCTCTTTATGTAAAAAAAAAAAAAAAGACCTTTTTCCAAAGGAGAAACATTACAATTATCCATTCATTATCTTTTACCCGCTTCTTTCTTTTTAGGTCGCGGGTTTCGCCGGTGCCCATGTCCAGTAATCACTGCGAGAGGCGGGGAACACCCTAGACAGGTCACAACTCCATCACAGGCCCCATTACAATTATTATCTGGAAAATATTTCATGGCTGGTTCTTATGCTAAAGTGTAATCCATAAAACAAAAAAATGAATTTGTAAAGTACATTCTCACTGAAAGACTGAATTTCTAATCAAGAAATAAAAGTGTCTTAAATCATCAGAGCCCTCGTTTTAGATAACATGACTGCTGCAATCCTGCTTTAAGCTACAAATGAACACCAGGGAAAGACAGACAGTTAAAGAGATTTTAATGTGCTTGTTCATACACTATATTGTATGCATATCCAGCATATAGCATTTCTCATACATATAACTCTCTTATATCCATGGTTTGAAATGTAGAGCTGAGAGGATGATTAACAGTCAGTCTACCATAACATTATGTCTGCCACACAGTGATGGCATAGCACAGCTGCCTAACAGGCTCAGTCTGTACTCAGAGGGCATAATAATACCCATTTGGGTTGTTTTTAACTGAATTTTCCAACCGCAGAAAGTAATAACACCGAGAAACATATATCTAAAAACAATAAAGTCTGCTGGGGATGAGTACATTATTTACAGAAAAGAAAATATAAAAACGGAGGTTAACAAATACAAAGTTGGAAAATATGTCGGAGAAATCCACCAGACCCATAGACATCTGTAACTCTGATTATACATTATTTAGCTCCACAATTCACAGCAGTTCAGAGGAAAAATAAAATCGTCCCGCGCGTTTTAAATATGAGCATCATTTCCATCATCATCATTATACTCATTGTTGTGATCATTAACAATGTCTTTGTCCTTATGTTCATTTGAGTCTCTTTCTCCTTAACCAAAATAAGGGCGCTCACTTTGGAAGTTGTAGTCCGGACACACTTTTTGAACAAGCTTGTAATCAATGCTTAAAAAAGAGATGAAGATGCAGATCACCTTGAAGGGTTTGGCACAGAGCCAGGCGGCGTGGGACTGAGTGTGCTCTGTGAAGCAGGTCTGAGACGGATCGTACAGGCAGGGTTTGGATTTCTTTGATCTGTCGGTTTTCTCATATTCGACCCGGCAGTTAAGGGTCTTTCCCTCTCTGGGGTCGATGGTGGTCTGCTGCGTGTCCTGGATCTGGATGTCCTGCTGGGTGTGAGGGCGCAGCTGCTGCTGCTGAAGAACCTCAAACTCCACCACTTTAGACGGTGGCACAATGCTTACTGACACGTTCCCCAGACTTGACGAGTTGTGGCGAAAGTAAACGGTGAACGTTCCGTTAATGTGGTCCACAATCTTTCCTGTCACCAACAAGCTAAACTTCACGGTCTTAACACTGAAATAAAAGTCTCCCCAACCAAAAATCTTCTTGGTCTTCATGTTCGTCTTAAGGGAGGGCTTGCGTTTGGAGCGGTAGCCAGTCTGATCGAGTAGCAGGGACTGGTTCCGGCCTGAGTCATATGGGTTATAGAAACTATAGGTGGGTGGCTTGGACTTCAAGGGTGTCTGGTCGATGGATGTGGAGAATATGCGGGTTTGATATGGAGGCTTAACAACTCCTCCAGCTGAGCCTCCACCCATGCCATATGGAAGAGTTTTCATCACTGACCCAACAGGGCCCAAATCTGAGAAGTCCACTTGCTTCTCCAATCCTTGGACCTAAAGAAAAAAGGATAAACAAGAAAAAAATTAGGAAAATTTGCACAAGTTTTGGCACAAGTTATGCTTAAGCCAGCTTAACATTTAGAATTGTTCTTTTGTCACAAGTTGACACAATTTCCTGAGGACTTAAATTGGCTAAAATCAAAATGCACTAGTGTTATCAAAAAAGTTGTCTGAAGTGTTTGACATAGTAATAACTTTAGATACCCCAATATACACTATCAAAAACAAAACAAGATGTTTTTTTTACAGCATGTCCTCTTTAAATGACACATCCATCTTAAATTGAATTTTCTTGGTGCCTTACACAAAGATAGATTGAATAAATGAAAAAAAAGGCCCCATTTTGCAAAAACAAATAAATAAATTATCAGCTGAAAGTAGAACAATCATGAACACTTTGAGTAAAACAAACAGCCTTCAACGAGTGATTTTCACATTTTATGACTTTTCAAAATAGTTCAATTCAGTCTCATTTTATGAAGTCAAACATACATCATGCCTATAATTCTGTTGTGATTCTCATTTTAGTTCACAAAATTTCCTATATTCTTAAAAGTTGTAAAGGTCACTTTTCTTTCCTTTCTTTGCTTTACACAACTTTTATGTCCTCAAGGATCCTATAGCTGTTAGATGTTGCCATGTTTTTTTATCCTGAAATCAAGAAAACAAAACCATCTATTTTTGTTAACACACTTTAATTTTGTTGTCAGAGTTGCTCGAGAGAGGAAAAACAACTCTGTGCGTAAGGTAATGGATGTGGGACTTCGTTCAGACACCAATCTGCCTTTAATCCACTGCCTCAGTGGTTGTTCATGACGCTGATTGACTGGAAATCTTGGTCTGTTCTCTTTCATGTCTCATCAATCACATCACTGCCATCTGCATGCTTATGCGCACACAAACAGTCAACAACACAGCATTTGCACACATGCAGACTTCTAGCTTGAAGCCGTCATGAAGTGACAGTGAGAATTATTACGACTATTGAGAGGGGTTACATTTGCTTCCCCAGAGGACACATTTGAATAGAGTTTAAAACTATTCTCTTAGTGGAAAAACAACCTCATACCTCGAGACAAAAACAGTATTTCAGCACTACAGGATTACATCTCTGCGTACTCATGCAAGGACAGTTTCTGTATTCCATCACTCCTGTGCAAGGCACTGAACGCCGACAGGTTTGTGCAAGCCTCATTTTCATCAATCATGGTGCCTAATAACACCCATATATTGCTATTCATAGAAGTAAAAGTACAGCACTCAATACAGCTTCTAATGTATTCATTCATTCAATTAAACTATCTCTATTTCTGCTCGCCATCCATTAACATGGCCGCAGAGCGGATTTTAAAGTAGATTGATTAGAAGGAAAATAACAGAAAGCTTATTGACCGCAGGGGGAATGAATTGCCAACAAAGAAAGGTTTTGATAAATGACAAGTGACTGGCATAATGTCTCACTGCAGATTTTTAACACACCTATTCCTTTTTGTGCCATGACAGAAGGCTTATGCCGGGGCCTTGCAATTTTGAGCAGGCGAATGTGTGCTGGGAGCTGACTTTGGCATTGACAGGTAGGAATAAGCTTCAGCTGATGGTAGAAAAAACATCAGAATATATACAGCAACAAACAGTGAGCACAGAGCATGCAATATGGGGACTTCCTGTGAACGCGCTGTCAGCAGTGCTGTCAGCTATCTCCATGTGTTGCCATCTGTCAGGCTAACACTCTGCTGGTGCAGTCCTAATCATTTCTCAAGTGTACGGCACGGAGCTCAAAGTAGCAAAATCATCATAATCCTTAACCATCCTCGGAGGCAAACTCACAACATGAACCTCAACTTAACCTTCGGGGTCAACAGAGTGAAGCTAAATGTGTGGTCCGAAGTTATCCGTAAGTCGGACCAAAGATCGTGAAAGCAGCTGTTCCCAGTCAGCAACTTTAGTAAACATTAGTAGATGGCTAAAAGATGAGTTTGCTGGAAGAACTTTTATATTTGAGGCAGGAAAACAATAAAATGCCAACAAAAAAACAATAAACAGATGGACTTTCCATTAGCATAAATATGAAATTTTTTTTGCTTGACAGTAAATCCATTTGAGGGAGAGGGTTTGTTAGAAGAAATATCAGATGTTTTTCCTTGACGTGAAATCCATAAGTTATGGGCTTTTTGAAACAGCAAATGCTTGTTGTAAGGTCATATCAGGCTGCTGCATCTGTGAAAGACCGACAGTTTGAGAAACGAAGCCCCACGCGTTTCAGCATCCTGAGATGTTATTCACTTAAGTTACAATAAATGAGTGGTAACTTTGCGAGCGATAGCCAGAGGAGTACTGCCTGAGTGATAAAGAGCTGATTAAGTATGCTTACAATGACACACACACCTACAAACAAACAGCAGGGGCCACACCAACACATACTGAGGCTTACAGCTTACATTTTACAAATAAATTGCACACAAGTTTGGTTAAATCAAAATAAAGTAGTAAAGCGCTTTACTATGAAAAAAATACATACATATTTTCTTAAATTTGACAAGAGTTGCTATGAGAAAGAATTATGTTATTTGTTTTGGTATTTTATTGTATATTATATATTAAAGTACTATTTCTCTTCCCATGAACTGTTAAAACTCCACAAAACAAGAGATAAATTAATAAAAAATAATTGCTTTTTCAAATTTCTTAAAATATTTATCCTACAAGGCGACTGCTGCTACAAGCTACCTGACACAGAACAGTGTTAATCTAAAACAATAGAAAGTAAAAAAATAAAAATATGAAGATATAAAAATATAACTTGAGAAATCTAAACAAAACAGCTGATTGTGGTGAGTTGTGGCACCTGAAGCATTTTCTGTATGATACATTCTCAAGTTCATACCAAAACTGTGTTGGCAATTCATACTTGCATGACACTGCCATTAATCAAACAGGTATAGTGCACGAAAGATTTGCAAACGTCAAATATATTGTCTTAGTCAAGGTTCTCAGACGCCATTACACAGTAAGACTTGTTGTAAACCAATAAAATGACCTAAAATGCCCAATTGTTTAAGATGGTGCTTCACATCCCTAAATCCCCCACCTCTAAACTTGCTGCTAAAAATGGCATCTTAACTAAAGTATAGAGACTGAAGTTCTTTGCTTCTGTGGTATATATATATATATATATATATATATATACATATATTAGCAAATTCTGTCACAAACATTTCACCAAGACCTCTGTAAAGTGTGCCATCATTTGAAAGAAAGGTACAATGTGGTCATTTTTAAACACTTGGCATGAACCCAGTGACTGTAATTGTAATGGAAAAAATGTTGACTAAATAAACAATTTTTAAGGTTTCTAAATGTTAAACTTTATATCCAATAATTTGTTTGATTTAAGCAGTTTTTATTGACGTGTCAGAGACTGTATGAGAATTACAGTACTCTGGATTGCGTGCAGTGATTTTCTCTCCCCCTCCTTTTGGTGGGGATGAGCATCAGTCAGTCACCTGTGTATGATGGACGAAGTAGAGGGAAACCCTATGAAATTTACTCCTCATTGAAAAAGACAAATTCAGCGTTTTCTGATTGTACAGTAAACAATCTACGATTTGTTTATTGGAATAGTTAATTTACGTCTCCTGGAGCAACGATTCATTGTCCTTTTTTCAGTAACATGATCTTATAATGTAATTATTTGTTTTCTTCACACACTTCTCAGAGATATGTTCCCTCTACTCCTTTTTTTTGCTCAAATTGCTCATTTTTTATTGCCACATGCAATCCCCACCCTAATTGTCAATCATTTGGGGTGGCATCTGGGGTGGCCAACCAGGTGCCAGTGGCATTTGCCATTCAGGCAACCCCTGTGGCTCTGCCCCTGTATGGTACTATAATTAAGTATAACTGGTATCATGACTGGTTTGACATGACTGTCGACAAGGGAGAGAGCGGGCACTGGAGGAGAGGGTGTGCCCCAGAGGCTGTCTTAGCACCAATATAACTGTTTTTTTTCCACTCTGGAGTATGCTGTTGGTGAAGAATCAGTTTTGCTTGGTGATCCTCAGACTGATGAAGCCCTTTGGTTGGAGGGCGAAGCGTCTCAGCAGAAAGAAAAAGAAATAAGAAAAAAAACAACAACAACAACAAAAAAGGCCAGATGACCTGACTGAACATTGTTGGATTTTATACCTGGATTATTGAGCATGGACTTTGGTATTCTGTTGGATGTACCTCTACAACAGAGTAACTTTTAAAATCAATCTGCTTCAAGATGGCTGCCAGATATTGAACTAAAATTTGGTGATAAAAGGTAAGAGTTATCTACAACACATTTGCTGAATGCTAACAAAATGCTGTGCAATTTTGTTAAAATTTAATTTCTCATGCTATTTGCAGTCAATCTGTTTGTCTGTTATCAAAATATCTAGTGAACCACTGGATTGATTTTTATCAAACTTTTAAGAAGTATCAATTGGATGTACATTGACAACATTTTAACATTTGGATTCAACGTTATTTAAGACGGCTGACACTGATGCAATTGTAGAAATGTTGTGTTTACATGCAGGTGTTCCTCTTTGCCAACACTTTGTTGTTACTGTTCAAGTGCCTTTTCAGTGGCATTTGTGACCATATATCTCAACAACTGTTTATCTCAGTGGCGTGAATTGTTTTATATTTATCTGTTTAGGTTATTTTTACAATAATAAAATTTGTATTTATCACAAAATTAGATGTCTCTGCCACTTTAAGCATTACGTTTAGGAGTCAACCCTGTTTTTGTGTTAGCAAAATGGCTCATGAATCCTGGATGGGTATGAATGAAACTTTCACAACGTAGTATACTGGTAAGTAAACAAAAAAGCATAATCCTTGGAACTAAATCTAAAACTGAATAATTTTTCAAGAGAATCCAATTCAAGATGGACACCACAGTTAATCAAAATCATCCATCCATCCATCCATCCATCCATCCATCCATCCATCCATCCATCCAT